ATGTCGCTTCCCTCAGAGGGCAAGTTTAGTTGCCAGTGATTAGAAACAGGAGTGGAAAGAAGACAGTTCCGCCGTCCTCAGAAGGGATGGGGCGTGTGGTGGAGGCTGGCGCCCGGAGAGGGACCTCCTGCTCGGGTTTCCTGGTCTCCCCCCGCAGCCTCCGCTCTCACACCATCCTCCGCCAGCGCCTGGGTGATTCTGAGCATCGTGAGGAGAAAGTCCACTGAGGGCGTAACTGCTGCCGCCCCAGCTCGCCCTCAGCCTTCCCAGCCTCAGCGCTCACCATTGTGGCCCGGGAAACGCCCAGGCCACAGACCGTCTCCTCTCTAAAAGGGCTCCAGGCCTTGGCAAGGCTCTGTGGCCCTGTCCAGAGCACATGCTGGGTTAACTCCGCCAGGATTCTCTGGGCTCAACTCTGCCCCCTGGTGTCAGGAGCAACCTGGGTCAGGACACCTGCTGCCTCTGCAGCTGTCGTCTCAGCTGCAAGATGAAAATAGTCACATTGGCCTTGATCACCTGGAAGGGATGTGCAGGGTCAAGCTAGACAGTGGCGGGAAGAGCAGGCTATGGAGGCTAAGGCTCAGAAATAATAAAGGAGGTAATAAGAGTAACTGACACGGACGGAGTAGCTGCTACATGTCAAGCATTACCCTGGGAACCACACATACACCCTCCTATCTGATCTCACAGCAGCCCTGGGAACTGCCTCAAGGCATGTGCGCAGCCAGAGGAGCTGGACATGGAGCGGCGGCGAACTGTGCAGGCTCTGGACTGCACGGACGTGGGTTTGAAACCTGGCTCGGCCTCTCATCGTCTCTGGGACTCTGTTCTTTAACGTCTCTGGACATGCTCTTTAACTCCTCCCAGCTTTGTTGTCCTTATCTACGAGTTGGAGACGTGACATCACCTACTTCACCGGGTCTTCATACAAGCCAACATGGGTTAAGCACTCAGCACTCTGTCTGGCTAAGTGAATACGAGCGATTATGATTAACTGTACACTCATTTAACAGATTGGAAAGCAAAGGCTTAGAAAGGTTAGGTAACTTGTTCAGGGTCACACGGGTGGTGAGTGCTGGAGCTGAAGTTTGAACCTTGGTCTGTTGGACTTCAGAGCCGAAGCTCCTAACCGTTGATTATTGGACTGGGTGTCAGGACATATGGATTCTAACTTCACAAACCCACAGGGTGACTTGGCCCAAGTCCTTTCCCATTTCTGGGCCTCAGAGTAAAGTGAGGGGGCTGGACCAGGTGGTCCCTAAGGCCTGCAAATCCATGCAGATTACACCTACACAAACTACCCTTGCAAATATGCATCTAGTTTTTTTCTTTTTTTAAAAATCTTTTAGAATATCAGGCATGAGTCAATTTGGAAGTGTGGATCAATGGAGAGTAGAGAGGTGAAGGCACTTTCAGAAAAGATTTCCTCGGCATGCTGGAGGTACCAAGAGAGCCTGGGTGTTAGCCTTAGACTGGGGCCAAGGCCAACTCCTACTTCTTGCTGCCATAAGAATAGGAAAGTAGAACATGGAGGTAGCCCTATCCTGAGCCTCTTATCAATTCAGACTCATCCATTCACCACCCACACATTCATCCATCTGCCTACGCATCCATTTACTCATCTATCAACCATCCATCCATCTTCCATCTGTCCGTCCATCCGTCTCCCTACCTAGTCCTCATCTCACTGATTACACATCTCTATATTTATTCACCAGTCAATTCACATACATCACCCACCCAACTAGTACTTCCCAAGAGCCTATGCTGGAGGGAGCAGAAGTAACTCAGCTGTGTCTCAGAGCACACAGCCTGCAATCAGACCACGTGAAGACACAGAAGAATCGGCACCCTCCTACAGGGGAAAACAAGCCTTGGCCAGGATCTGTTTCCCAGGCCAGGCTCATTTCCCAGCTGAAGCTGGTGGGTATTGTGGGGACACTGTGTGCCTTTCCTGTCCATCTCCTCTTGCGTGGTAAAGATGTCCCACATCTAGATTTCCCAGCCTGGTCTGGACTTCCATTTTGGACCGAGCAGCCCATGATGCTTCTCAAAATTCCTCTAGGACTACAAGGGCAGGCCCTGGGAGCCCCTTCTCTCCATATGGCTGACAGTATTGGCTGTGAATCTGACCCTCTGGGCTCCAGGCCTTCCTTCCTGAGACCAACCAGTACTAAAGATGCTGCAGGACTGGTTTCAAGGACCAAGAACCTAATCTGGGCACCCTACTCAACAGCTGGTTTTAGGGTATCTGTAAGTTGGCTCTGCCACCAACTTTGAGCAAAACCCTTTCTTCTGTAAGCCGGATGTCTCTGCTGTCTATTCATTTCTTGATTAGCCTCTGCATGGCTACAAATGGGTGATTTTACTGCTGACAAACAGCAATGCTAACCACCCTGAGTGCTGAATACGTGGTAAGCACTTTCCACTTAGTAACTCATTTCATCCTCACAATAGTCCTATCACTTCCCCCAGGAACCTGAGGCACAGCGAGGCTTAGTAGCTTGTCCGCAGTCACACAGCTAGTGAGGGATTTGAACCCAGGCTGTCTGGCTCCAGGCTGTGGGCTTTAACCAGCACCCAGTCATGCCAGGGACCTCTGCTGTCCCTTCCACACTGATGGCTGTCAGCTCACAGAAGTGAGAACCGTGTGGCCAGGGTTCTTTCAAGGAAGCCCCAGAAAGAGAGGCGCAAGGGTCCCAGGATGCCAGGGTTCAAGGCACAGAAGGGGACACTGGTGCTTGAGAGGTCAGAGACTTGGTCTGTTTACAAACCAAGAATCCCCGTTTCCAGCTCCCTGATTTCTTCCAGTCTTGGCAGTTGCCCCTTTCCCCCAGGTGGACTTGAGGACCCCTGTCCTTGAAGCCACTGGACACCGTCTAGTTAACCACATCTGGAAATGAACTGTGGCTCTGCCACTGGCACTGTGAAACACTGCCTAGTAGAGCCTCTTGCTGCAGAGATGTTCTGTGGCCCCTCCTGGCAGACCCCAGAACTCCTTTCTTAACTGTAATTGCATAACATACATCTTCATCCAAGCCCATCTTGCAGGGCTCTGCCCTCATGGCCGCCCTCACCGCCCAAAGCCTGCTCTGGGAATTGCCCTGTTCCCTCCTCTGAAACATCTACAGGACGAGATCATTAACGGCATCTTGGTTATTTTAGGAAGGCCTGAGGAACAGAATAAAGCCTTGCCCCACCTCCCTTTTTTCCCAGATCGGGGCTGGGAGGTGGGGGGAGGGGTGGAAGGAGACAGAAATGCCGTCATCTCTGGCATCCCCCTCCTCCACTCCCCCCGCCCCCCGTCCCCGCCCCCAGCATTCTCTATCACCCATCTGCACACTTTCTCCCGACCTACTTTCTCCTCCTGTCAGGGCTTTCTCCTCAGCCCTGCAGCTCTGGGCTGATGGGGCAGCTGCTCGGCCACAGTGGATGGGACAGTTATTGCAGCCCCAGTGTCTGCAGGCAGAATCTGCCTCCCTCCAGCAGACGACCCCCCCCGCCCCCCGCCCCCAGCCCTCGGCCTTTGGCCGCTGACTCACGCTCTTGGCAACCCAGTCTGATCCCGAAGGTTCAGGCTAGCTCAGCGGCAGAAGGAGAGGTCAGAGCCAGGCCACATTGGCAGGGCAGGCAGAAAAGCTCAGCTGTCCTCTCAGACACTCGCTCTGCAGGAACGTCCTGCATCTGGGAGCCGACAGAGCTCTGGATGGACCTACCGGTCCATTTGTATTTCTCCAAATGCTGGTTAATCACAAAACGGCAACCTGTGCTTCTGAACCAAACAGGGATTCTAGCATGATGACTCTAGGTGGCTGAGACAGGAATATGAGTGTTTTTTTCTTATTAAAACTAGTTAATGCCCCTACTATTACTAATAACTACACTGTCGCTGGTGGTAGGCTGTGTAAATGGCCACAGTGAGTTCCCTCTCTGAATCCATGCCCTTTGCAATGTGACTTTGAAGTCCCTCCCATTAGAGATGGGGTCTATTTCTCTGCTCCTTGAATCTGAACAGGCCTCTCGACTTCTGTTGGCCAATAGGACGCGGCAAAATCACGTGAAGCGCCCAGCCGAGCCTGCTGGAGGAGGTGGGACCACACAGAGCAGAGATGAGCCATGCCAGCTGAGGTCATCCCAGATCAGCCTACAGTCCTGCCAAGATCAGCAGAGCCGTGCACGTGACCCACGGTGGATGTGCGAGGAAATGCATCCGCCAGCTGAGCCCGGCCTGAGCTCCCGGCTCACAGAGCTGCGAGCTAAAGACACAGCTTGCTTTTGAGCCACTACGTTTTGGAGTAATTATATAGCAGAAACTAACTAATAAAAAGATTTTTTTTTTTTGTAGGGAGAGAAATGATAGGATCTAAAAAACACAATTAACAGTAATATTTTTTTTTCCCCCATGGGTGGCTCAGATGGTAATGAATCTGCTTGTAATGCAGGAGAACTGGATTTGATCCCTGGGTCAGGAAGATCCCCTGAAGAAGGCAATGGCTAGTCACTCTAGTAGTATTCTTGCCTGGAGAATCTCATGGACTGAGGGGCCTGGAGGGTTAACAGTTCATGGGGCCACAAAGAGTCAGACACCACTGAGTGACTAACACTTTCACTTTGGGGGTTTCTCAGGTGTTGTTAGTGGTAAAGAGCTAGGCTGCCAATGTCGGAGACATAAGAGATGTGGATTTGACCCCTGGGTCAGGAAGATCCCCTGGAGGAGGGCATGGCAACCCACTCCAGCATTCTTGCCTGCAGAATTCCATAGAAAGAGGAAGCTGGCAGGCTACAGTCCATGTGGTTGCAAAGAGCCAGACACGACTAAAGTGACTGAGCACGCACACATGCAAGCATCATAGCTGGGTCAAAGAGAAACAACTGCCTACTATCTGACCACCCAAAGTACATCAGCAGGACTTAAAATTACGAATCGCTCTGCTCCGCCAGCCAGGTGCTCCTGCATCACCCCCGGACGCCTCTCCCTCTGGCAGAGGCTGCCCACTCACCAGGACCTTGGTGGTGTAGGCGCTGTTGACGGCGATGGCATGGACCAGCAGCTCCATGGTCTTGGCGTTGATGGAGCTGGGCTCGGGGATCTCCTTGTAGTGGACGTCGCCCACGTAGGCCTGTACCACCGTCATGCGATTGGTAGTCAGGGTGCCCGTCTTGTCCGAGCAGATGGCCGTGGCATTGCCCATGGTCTCGCAGGCGTCCAGGTGGCGGACCAGGTTGTTGTCCTTCATCATTTTCTGCAGGAGGGGGCGGGGGAGAGGGCACCGTGAGGACAGGGAGCTGGGGCCGGGGGTGAGGGCACCGCGGAACAGGCAGTAAATGAGGCGGAACTGCCCCTCTGCTTCACTCCAGTGCAAAGGATCCGGGCCCCAAGAGCGTCTGTCATCAGGGTCCTTTTTCGTGTACAGCACTCTCTCTTTCTCCTTTTAAATTACTCGAGCCACTGAAGAGTTGATTAGTTGACTTTATTAATTTCAATTATGGAAGTAATCTGTATTCTTTACAGAAAAGATAGCGAAAAGAATGGTAAATGAAGGCTGGATCCTCTTTGAGTACTTCAGATACTTTCCTTTTACCTCCTAACAGAAATAAGTTCTTTATTTGATTATGGGTTTTTTCTTTTCCAAAGGTATCATCTCTCACTGGCGCCTGGCTTTCACAGTCACTTTGGTTTCATGAGAAGTGAAGAAGTGTAAGTTATGTATGTATTAATAGACATAGGAGACTACGTGGAAAAAACCAAAATACTAGTGTCATTGTTTCTGAGTGATACATTTATAGGAGATTGTTATTGCCTCCTTTTAAAAATCTATAGCTTCCATTTTCCTACAATGACTATATACTATAACTTGCATAATAAAAACCACAAATTTCTTTTAAATATAGATACACATGAAAAAAACAAGTCAGTCATAATTCTACCACTGAGCACTGATGTATCTTACATAACAATATCTTTTCAAGTTTATAACAAAACTGAAATCCTACTCTACAATTATTGTCTTATATTCACCTTCTTTTCTCTCCTCCCAGCATCACACTCCTAGCTTCTTCCAGGTTCTTAAGCAAATAATGCAAATAAAGTGATTCTTAAGGAACCACCACTCTTAACTGCAGGTCCTCCTGACATAGTGACCCTACTGGCAAGAACATATGTGAAAAGGTGGATTTAGCTAAAGGTTGAGTCAGATGTTCTAGTCTGAGCCTAGGAATCTGATTCCCTTTTTCTTGCTCCTCATTATAACTCTTTATAACAAGGATAAAAAAGGAGCGCAATTAAAATAATTAAAAAAAATTTTTTTGGTTATGCGACATGTAGGATCTTATTTTCCTGACCAAGGATCTGAACCTTCACCCCTGCATTGAAAGCATGGAGTCTTAACCACTGAGCTGCCAGGGAAGTCCCTGGCAGGTCAGGTTATTAAAAAATGAAAATTGGTAGAATTTTGTGCTCCTGTAGCTTCTCTTATCATTTGTTGTTGTTTAGTTGCTGGCGTTTCTGGCTCTTTGCGACCCCACAGACTGTAACCCACCAGGCTCCCCAGTCCACGGGATTTTCCAGGTGAGAATACTGGAGTGGGTTGCCATTCCCTTATCCAGGGGATCTTCCCAACCCAGGGATCGAAGCCTGGTCCTCTGCATTGTGGGCAGATTCTTTACCATTTGAGCTATCAGGGAAGCCCATGAAATGTGCTATAAGAGTAAATTTCACATCCGGTTTTGAAGGCTGATTATGAAAAGAAATGTAAGAATCTCACTAATCATTTGTGTATTATTGAATATTACATGTTGACTTGATAATAACTTGGACATATTAGGTTCAATAATGTACAGTATTAAAATATTTCCACCTGCTTCTTTCTGTTTTGTCTTTTTCATGCAGCTGCTAGGAAATTTAACATCATACAAATGTCATGTCTCTATCGGACAGTGAAGATCTAAGTGTCACCTCTATTCTTTGGCTGGTGGACCCTGGATAGCTCAGTCGATAGAGCATCAGACGTTTAATCTGAGGGTCCAGGGTTCAAGTCCTTGTTCTGGCACTTGCTTTTGTGGGGCTTCCCTGGTGGCTGAGTGGTAAAGGATCCATTTCCCTGGATGAGGAAGACCCCCTGTGTTCTTGTCTGAGAAATCCCAGGGACAGAGGAGCCTGGTGGGCTACAGTCCCTGGGGTCGCAAAGAGTCAGAACACAGGGCCAGGCTCAGAAGGTGGAGAGTTTGCCTCTCTCCCGGGTGGCGGGTGGGGGCTGTCCTCAGTTTATCAGGGGGCTGTATAAGTAACTGCCTAAGGCAGCTGAAGGCACAGGCGCCAGAGACACAGACTACGGGGGCGGAGGCAGCAAGGTCTGCAAGTGAACCCCCGATACCATTTATGACCTTTAAGGGGGTCTTGAGTTCCACTGGTGGCTATGGGGTCCAGACTCAGCAGCACAAGGTCTCCAACCCCAGACTCCCCGATCAGCCTTGTGTTGTGCTCTGTTTGGGCTTTGGTTTGTGGGATGGAGTTTCTTAGAGAACCCCAAAACAAGGAGACGATAAGCACAGTGTCCTTTTACACAGACCTGCCACTTCCTGGCACTGCCCTGAGATCTCTTTTCTGTATGAAATTACATCGGCCAGCCCAGCCCAAATTCCAGCTTGGAAACTGACCGTGCCCTCGGTTGGCTCTGCCAACGACTCGGAGCGAATGCCTTGTTTATAAACAGCCCTGGCCTCTGCTCTCGCAGGCACATCCGGGCCTAGGGGCCCTGGGAAACAGGAGCACAGGGCCCTGCCCGCCGAGCTGGGGCAACCACAGGGCTGAGGCAAGATGATAAGCCCAGGGTATGGGGATCTGGGGATGAACCTGGCTTGGAAGTGCCCCCAAGAGGGTCAGATGCCTGTGCTCACGAGATGATGCCAGCCCTCACATCCCCGTGTTTGGGCTCCGCCGATGGCCATGGGCCTGGGAGCAGGGGAACGTGGGGCTCTGTTATCAGGGTGGCACTCAGGAGCACCCCCAGACTCAAGGCACTCCTGGGCCCACCTGCCCTTTATCGGTTTCCCGCTGGCTCAGCAGTAAAGAATCCGCCTGCCAGTGCAGGTGACACAGGAGACGTGAGTCCATCCCCGGGTCGGGAAGACCCCCTGGAGCAGGAGATGGCAGCCCACTCCAGCATTCTTGCCTGGGAACCCCATGGACAGAGAAGACAGGCGGGCTACAGTCCAGGGGCCTGCAAAAGACTTGGACACGACTGAGTGACTAAGCGCAAGCCCTTTATTGAAATGCTTTTAAGACTTTCTATTTTTAGCCCATCTCTTGAGAGGAGGGGGCTTTCCTAAAACCAGACATCCTTTTTACTTCAGGCTTATCTCTTTCGAACTTTAGGAAGCAAACTCCAAGCTTAGTCCCAAGTACTGCGGCTAAGTGGGGCCTACAGCTGTGTGATGACCACACTTCGGCCAACATTTGATGGGACGGGATGGGTGTGGGTCTGGCTTTCCTGGTGGCTCAGATGGCAAAGACTCTGCCTGCAGTGTCGGAGAGCCAGGTTCCATCTCTGGGTGGGGAAGATCCCCTGGAGAAGGAAATGGTTACCCACTCCAGTATTCTTGCCTGGAAAATCCCATATAGACAGAGGAGCCTGGCGGGCTACAGTACATGGGGTCGCAAAGAGTCAGACAGGACTGTACAGGGAAACATCTGCGTCTAATTTACTGTTCAGAGTTGAGCTGACGGTCAATGTTTAAAAATCAGGAGAGCTTATATGAAGTCCAGCCTTCTGGCTTCTCTTAGAAAAATGTGAAGATCTGGCAACACTGAACCCCATCACTACAAGGGGACACTTGGCTGGGCTGAATAATGGCTGTCCCCTTAGCCAGGGTGTGGCTCTCCTGGAGGCCTGTGAGTTTGGGGCTCCCGCATGCAACCTCTCTCTCTGAGCTTCCAACGTGTCCACTCCTTTCTACTTAGCTCTCCTCGCAGCCCCCGGCCCTGGCCCGCCAGCCACTCCTCAGACCCCCAGCTCAGTGGCATCAGCCGGCCTGTCCTGCTTCCCGCGCCTCACCTTCACTGAGTAAGCCAGGGAGATAGTGACGGCCAGAGGGAGGCCCTCGGGCACGGCAACCACCAGCACGGTCACGCCGATGATGAAGAACTTGACGAAGTACTGCACGTAGACGGGTGTGCACTCGGGGAGCCACGGCTTCTTGTTGACCACGAAGGTGTCCACGGTGAAGTAGAGCACCAGGATGATCACCGTGATGGCTGACATCACCAGGCCTGCGACATGCGTGGGAGGAAGCCTGTCAGGGGGCCTCCTGCAGGCAAGGGGCCCTGGGAAGGGAGATGTGGACCCAGCCAACCCTTGGCTCCAAGGGCTCTGGGGTCAGGCAGGCCCTAGCTCACATGCCAGCTCAGCTTGGTGGCCTTCGGGCAAGTGCTTGATCCTCAAAGAGCCTCAGTTTCCTCCTCTGTACAATGGGGATGTGTATTTATTCCATGTGGTTTTATAAGAATCAAATGTGACGAATGCATATAAGTTGCCAGGTACAGTGTTGGACATACAATAGGTGCGGAGTGAGCATGTGAATAAGGAACTGCTAGCATGGTGCTCTCACACTGTTGGATGTATAGAGGGTACCACTTATTTCCTCCTTCACTCAGGCACACACTGTTTCCTATTCTAGGAACAAGGGACACAGCAGTAAAGAGAGTCCCTACCCTTGGGTAGCTGAGATTCTAGAGGAGGAGGCAAACAAGAAACAAACAAACACACTAAGAGGATAAGTCCAGTGGTCACATATGGATGTGAGAGCTGGACCACAAAGAAGGCTGAGCACTGAAGGACGGATGCTTTCGAATTGTGGGGCTGGAGAAGACTCTTGAGAGTCCCTTGGACAACAAGGAAATCAAACCAGTCAATCCTAAAGGAAATCAACCCTGCATATTCATTGGAAGGACTGATGCTGAAGCTCTAATACTTTGGTAATCTGATGCGAAGGGCCGAATCATTGGAAAAGACCCTGATGCTGGGAAAGATTGAAGGCAGGAGGAGAAGGGGACGACAGAGGATGAGATGGTTGGATGGCATCACTGACTCAATGGACATGAGTCTGAGCAAACTCCGGGAGGTAGTAAAGGACAGGGAAGCCTGGCGTGCTGCCGTCCATGGGGTCGCAGAGTCGGACACGACTGGGTGACTGAACACCACCACCGGGGAGGGGAAGTGATGTGCCCGAGGCCACAGGCCAGGGAGGCACTGGAGAATTAGTGCCTGCAGGTAGCTACCCGCCCGGCTCCCTCTTGCCAGCTCATGTGCCCAGCCACCCCCATCCACCTCAGTGCTGTGCGGGTGTAGCTGAGGCTGCCCATATCTGCAGCCTCTGCCAGAGGAGACTAGCGTCTCCTTGTCAAAAAGTGCCTGGCAGGTCCACCCACCCCAATCTGATGGCCAATATCCAGGGGCTGACGCGGGGGTCCAGAAGCCCAGCCGCCTTGCTGCAGCGCGGGTCGGACCCTGCAGAGGTGTTCATGCTCCAGAGCTCCCTGTGGGATCAGGTGGAGACGGGGATTTCTCCGGAAACCTTGGCTCGGTCTGCTTCTTCCTAGGCTCTGTGGCATGCCGGGCCCTTTCCAGGTCTCCCCCTGAGAGCACTCCCCCCCCAAATCCCGTGCCCACCCATTTCAGGCTCTACTTGCAGGGAATCCATCCCAGGAGAGGAGCAGTGGTGGGATGTGAACCAGCAGGGTGCGACTCTGTGCCCCGCGCCTGGCAGGGCTGACTGAGTGGCGGAGGGGATGAGCCAGGACAGAGAAGGCCATGGGATGCTTCCCACGGCTCTGCTCCTTGCCCTCCAGCACCACACTGCCGTGGAGCCTTCCCCGTGGTGGGGAGGGAGGAAATCCCCGGACCCATCGCCACCCGCCCCCGCTGCCAGCTGTGGAGCCGAAGAGCCAGCTCAAGCCATGTCTGACAGTCGCAGGGGCGGGAAGCCAAGCTCCCGGCAGCCGGGAACTGTCACCAGGCCCCTGAGTTTAAATTTAGACGGCCAAGCCTGCAATTTGCCTCTCTTCTCCACACTGCGGTGCCTATAATTAGAGCTGGGAGACAGCCGTGGAAGAGCAGGCAGCCAGGTGGGGAGGCTGTGGTGTTTGCCACATCCTTACCCAGGAGAGGAGGCCAAGACCGTGTTGGGCGGGCAGGGCTCACCGTGCAGCCGGGCTTGGCTTTGGGGGCCAGAGCGGCCATCATCAGCTGTCACCTGTAGCTATCAACTTGGTTGGGAAACCTGGCTCGTGTTGTTCAGTCGTGTCTGAGTCTTTGCGACCCCATGGACTGCAGCACGCCAGGCTCCCCCATCCTTCACTACCTCCTGGAGTTTGCTCAAACTCATGTCCATTGAGTCGGCGGTGCCATCCAACCATCTCATACTGGGGCTCAGACAAGGGGCTTCTCCCTGGGCTCCTAGCACTGCCCTCCATCTGCCTAGTCTTTCCTGTGCATGGCAGCTGGGGTGGTCACTGTACAGTTCAACTCCATCCTTGCTCACACCTCCTCCAGGGCTCCCAACGTCCTCAGGATAAAGCCTGCACTGCCAACTCCTATAGGGTCTGCCCGCATCCAGCCACCACCCTTGCCTGTACGTGTAAATAATCTCCTTTACTCCTCACAGCAACCTGTGAATTGGGGGCTACAGGAGCCCAAGTCCACGGACCGGGAGCGCAGGTTCAGAGCTTGGTGAAGGTGCTTGCCCAAGACCTCAGCGCCGGAGCTTGAGGAGAATGCAGGCAGGCTGCCCCCAGAGCCCGCGCTTCATTCTTGTGCCTGTCTAAGTGCTAGCTGAGGTGCCTGCTGTATCAGGACTCAGACTGGTTGCCGCGGCAGACAAGGGTGGGTCTCATGCAAGCCCTCGCTTTGCAGATGAGGTAGCCGAGGCCCAGCCAGGAGCAGGGCTCTGCCTCGGGGACCCCCCTGCGTGCCCTGTGTCCCCCCAGGCCCGTGCCATCCGCCGGGGCCGCGCGCTCACCTGCCTTGCCGATCTGCACGGCTAGCTTGGTGAGCTTGCCCTGCAGCACCGACTTCTCCTTCTTGTGCATGTTGGCCTTCTTCTTGTCATCAGCGTCTCCCCCCTCAGCACTCTTGAGGGGTTGCATCTCCATGGCGGCCGCCCCGTCCTGCTGTTTGGCTGCAGGGGGCAGAGCACACACATATGTACACACACACACACACACACGCACGCACAGACACGTGCACACACACAGACATGCACACCGACAGGTTAGCCTGCAGGGTGCGGGTGTTGGCACCCCGCCCCTGCCCAGGGGAGCACAGTGAGACCCTCACTCCTCAGCCTGAGACCCCCCGCATGGCCGGCACAGATTCCCTGTGATGAGGGGGTCAGCCTCTCCTTGCTGGAGACCCTGGACCCAGGGCCACAGGACACAGCACGGAGGGACACGGCTCCGCCCTGGACTTGTAGCAGGAATGGGCTGGAGGCGCCTCTGGGCCTGAACAAGTCCGCCAGCCCTTCCCCAAAGGGCTCTTCGGCTTTTCCACATTCAGACAAGACACAGGCTTGGGCTCTGCCCAGTTGGTCCTTGGGCCATGTTGCTGGAATACTAAGTAGTCAGTAGAGAGAAGGGACAAAGGGGGGCTTAAAAAGTGGAAGAGTGTGTTCTCATCCACGGGTGCCAAGACCCTGCTCCTTCAGCACAGCCCTGACTAGTGGGCCTGGAGCCCGACCCCTTGCCCTGAAGATCCCAAAGAGCCAGCTTCAAGCCTTCAGCTGAACGGGGATATAGCTCAAAGCAGGCGAGACACTGGCTTGTGGGTGGACTGCAGTGTGGACAGTGCCGCTTCCATTTGTCCTGGTACCACGAGATCACAGCTACCCCTCCGCCCAGAGACGTCAGGCACCCAAAGGCGTGGACGTCTGCCTCTGATGTGGCCCCTAGAACCAGCAGGGAGGGGCCACAGGGACCAGGTTAATACAAAAGGGTTACCTTTGCTCTGGCTGGCGTCCACATTGCCATCCTGCATTTTACCTACACGACAGAGAATTTTAACAGACAACAGAGAACAGACAACACACATCGGTCACCATGAAGACGCAACAGGGCCACGGACATTCATGTCAGCTGGGGGGTGGGGATGGCCAAGCTGGCTCTGCCCCTCAGTACAGGGATGCCGGGGAGGCCCCCCAGGCAAGAGCAAACCCACGGGGGCTGCAGGGTCTCTCTTGATTCTCTGAGGGCGCAGAGAGGGGGCTTCCGGGGGGTTATGTTAGCCGTGAGCATTTTACAGATTAAACAGCAGCCTTTAGGGTAAAGGAACCACACAAGCAGAAGGAATGAGAGATCTCAGGCCCCCAGTGATGAATTTGGAATTTGGTTGGTGCTTTATGTGGGCTGAGAAGAGGCAAAGGGAAAGAGAGAGAGAGAGGGAGGTTGATTCTAGAGTGGGGAGGTATTCGGTCAATGTGCTCCTTAGTTTCTGGCTGCAGGAGAGATGATTCCAGTTCCTTTTCCTCTTGGCGGTGGAGGATGAAGCCACGACATGGACAACCCTCCCTGCCGCCCGCCTCACTGAGAGTGATTCGGGCAAAGGGTGTGCAGAGGCTTCCCAGCAGTGGGCTCGGAGGCACCCACAGGTGTTTGGGGGCTTGGTGGTCATGCCGTGGCGCCCAAGGGGAAGCCACCCCACCCCTCCCCTCCACTAAATCTTCACTCTAGATTGCCTAGTTCGGGCCACAGAAGAGAGGCGAAGTTGGCTTGGTGGGAACCCCTGGGTGCTCCCTACCCCCAGCTCTATCAGAGTCGGATGCTGTCTAGTGCTGGGACTGGGGCTCCCCACCCCATAATCGGGGCCACATGGCAGGCTGCCTCCCCAGGCTTGGCCCAGAGCACGTGGGCTGCGTTCACAGGGTGGGAGGTATTGGTGACTGCTACCTGGTAGCTAGACACCTACCTGCACCTGCTGGCCCTGCAGGGATGGGGGCATCCTCCTGTCCCCCGGCTCATCCTGGGCTTTACCCGATGGCTCGCCACCCCAGGAGGACTTAGAAGGTCGCTGAACCCCTCACCACTCCTGGATAATCACTGTGAAGGACATCCTCACAGATCGTGGTCCAGGCCCATATATGACCTTCATGGTTTCAGCTGGTCCTCATTGCATCCCTCCTGGGGTGCTCCAGGATCATGGCCACAGACAGATAAAAAGCTGCAGCTCAGGGAGGGACACTCAGCAGGGGCTCTGCTAGCTCTCCGCAGGTGAGTGGACAGCTGGCCCCAAAGGATATGCACATTTTTGCCCCTCCTTGGGAGAAAGCAGCTACCCCCATCCCCTGAGCCTGCAGTGGGGTAGGCACTGAGGCGGCAGTGGTGTGACTAGGCTCCTGAAGCTGCTGTTTCAACACCAACTAGCCCTGTGACTTCACTGCTCCCAGCTTGGCTTCCACCTCCATAACAAGGGGTTGTCATCTCGCCTCCCAGAGCACCTAAAAGTCACCTTTTGTGATAACCACTCGCCCAGCAGCATTTGGCAGTTTGCAAGTGTCTCATGTCTTGTCAGTTTTCCTGGTACCCTGCAAGGCGGGGTGGGAGGGGCTTTCATCCCTCTCATTTTACAACGAGGAAACTGGGGCTGGGGGAGGTTCAGAGGCAGCTGTCATTTACAGAGCATCCGGATGACCTCTGCAAACACTGTCGTCCTCACACCACATTCACGTTCCACTGACTGCCTCAGAGGGAAGCAGTGGCTTCCTGGGTGCCAGCTCCATACCATCTCTGCAACAGTGCCGGAGGGTCAGTGGCCTGCCCTGGGGTTGAAAGAGAAAGGTCCCCATCCCCGTATTCTAAAATTCTTTCTACCAGATTAAGGAACAACACGGAAGAAGGCTTCTCGGAGCTGACAGGAATGAACCACAACAGTTGTTTTTATGTTTAAACATGATTTCACTAACTGGGCTAAAAGGCACCAGAGGACTCAGCTTCAGGAGCTGGTGTGAGGGGCACAGAGGGACCTCTGTTTGCATAGCACATTACCAGATGCAATAGCCCACGTGTGTCCATTAACCAAGCCAGCAATTTCCTCTTGTATTTCCATAGCGATCACGTGGCCAGAAAAATAATCAACAATGCATATGTCTAAGGGAGGGAGCCGTGTCCTGGGGGCACTTGGGTGCAGATGGCCTGGTTTCTTGGAAGCGAGGGACTCATTTGGGGGCTCTCCTTAGCCAAACCAGTGCTCCCCTGGCCCTGGAACGGTGGTGGGGTGCTGTTCTGCCCGCTCCCCATGGGACCTGGAAGATAGGCTGATTCAGGGGAGCTGGGATGGAGGACAGGAACCAGGACGGGGGACCAGGGTGGAGACCCAGAGGCCTCTCTGCATCAGATGCCAGGTGCATTTTTGCCAAATGGATCAGTCCTCTCTGGGCACTGTGAGGGTCATGGGTGTGGAAAACCTGGACGTGGAGGGTCAATGGTGAGGAGACCCAATAAACAAGCTTTGAGGAGACAGGCTGCTAACTAGGAGAACTGGGAGGCGTCACTTCTCTTACCCGTGCCTACATTTGTCCCTCTGAGAAATGCACAATTTCAACCAAGGTGATGCTTATGAAAAGCACTGCAAAGTACCCTGTAAGTGTCCAGGGTTAAGAGCAATGTATCACTTAAAATCGTGATTAAAAGTGATGTATTCAATAGTGATATATCAATAAATGGGTTTCCCAGGTGGTGCTAGGGGTAAAGAATCTGCCTGCCAATACAGGAGACACAAGAGATGCAGGTTCTATCCCTGGAAAATCCCATGGACAGAGGAGACTGATGGGCTGCAGTCCCTGGGGTCACAAAGAATCAGGCATGACTGAAGCAACTTAGCATGCATGCATGCATGTCAATAAATATAAAAGAAACAATAAAATTAAAATGGCAATTATAATGCCTCCAGAATGGATGGGACACCCCTTAGAACTCAGTTTGGAGGGGCTTGTGGGGGTGGAGTGAGGAGGGGGCATCCTGCCACCTGAGTGTGTCTTCCACATCCAGGTCATCCTGATTCGGCTCAGATCAAGGAGTGGAAAGGAGTGGTCCATTCTCTCACTCACAAGGCTCAGCTTAGCACCCTCAGCCTTCAGCGCACTCTGCCTGGAGACTAGAGGCCGCGGCAGAAGGCAGGTTCTCATTCACTAGGTCTGGGTGGGGCCTGAGAGTCTGCATTTCTAACAAGCTCCTGGGAGATGCCCAGGAGCATGCGGGCCTCCAGTCACAATTCAAGTAGCAGCAGCTTAGAGCACCGGCTCCAAAGTATATTTGGGGGAGTCTACCAATCCCACGACATTCAGCCAGGAAGGGTCCCGCGGCCACGTCAGTCTGGGAAACCCTGTGTGACTCTAACTCTCTACCCCACAGCACAATCGAGGCTGTCTTTTTGCAACGAGGAGGAAGCCAATTCTACCTAGTGGTTCTTAAACAGTTTTGACCACAGGATCCTTTCCTTGCACAGAAGACTTCTTAACATGCTTGTGAAGTTTATTTATTTTTTAAAGCTTTTCTTTTTTTGAGGATGTGGACCATTTTTAAAGTCCTTATTGAATCTGGAACAATACTCCTTCTGTTTTGGTTTTTTTGGCTGCGAGGCATGTGGGAATCTTAGCTCTCTGACCAGGGATTGGACTTGCACTCCTTGCATTGGAAGATGAAGTTTTCACCCCTGGACCGCCAGGGAAAGTCCCTACATCACTGTGACATTTATACCAGGAAGAGCAGCACACACTTTAGAGCCAGGTAGGCCTGGCTTCACGTCCCAGCTTTGCTACTGTCTAGCTCTGTGACCTTGGACTAGCATCCTGATCTCCATGAGACTCAGTTTCCTCATTTTAAAGTGGGGACGAAAAACTGACCCACAGGGTTATCGTGAGGATTAAATGAGATGCTTGCAAAGAGCCTGGTGCACAGAAAGTGGGTAAGAAATGATGTTTCCCCATCTTTTCCTACAGTTTTTTTTGGGAATATATGGAGGTTTTTGGCTTGAACTGGAAGTGAGGCTGCTGCCTTTTTGAGACCCACCAGTCTGGATGGGGGTCCCAGCAGGTTCATCCTCCGGGAAGGGTGCGGGGAAGCAGGACGTCACTTCCTGTTTCCTCCTTCCCCTCTCCATCCTCCCATGTGGATTTGCCTTCATCATTTCTCCCTGTTAGGGCTTTCCTGGTGGCTCAGTCTGTAAAGAATCCGCCTGCAATGCAGGAGACCCGGGTTTGATCCCTGGGTCAAAAAGATCCCCTGGAGAAGGGAATGGCAATCCACTCTAGTACTCTTGCCTGGAAAATCTCATGGACAGAGGAGCCTGGCAGACCACAGTCCATGGGGTGGCAAGAGTCGGACACGACTTAGCGACTAAAGCACCAGCACCACCCCTCCCTCACATGTGACACCTCCCACACCCCAGGCTGTCCTCTTTTCTCTTCCTGTGCCTGAAATAGACCCACACCCGAATTAGCCCTTCCTGGCCAGGTGCTGCTCACAGAGGAGTGCTGCCCAGCCCCTGACATCTGCTTGCTGCTTCTGTCTTGGGTCACTTTGAATCCGAGTGGCTCAGCCAGAGGTCTGAGACAGGGGAGGGGAGGCGGAGGCAGAACCATAGCTCCATGTTTTCTGGGGGTGGTGAGGAGTAAATGATATGATGGATGAGAAACCTGCTGCCCAGTTCCTGGGATGAGCGACGCTGGGGAAAGAAAAAGCTTTCCCTTCCCTTCAATTCTCGGGGGCAATGGTTTCATGACCGAGCCCTAAAAGCTCTTAGGAGCAGACCGGGTGACTTTATGTCATCTGACTTGGGGACGGGGATGACCAGAGAAGATGGGAGGGTATAGAGGTGTGAAATCTTCCAAAGGCGCGGAGGCCAGTGAATGGAGTTCCTTCCTGTCTGTGTGTAAGGAGGGTGAGATGCAGACCCAAGGTACAGTGGCAGCCCTTACCCCCATCGCCCATCCCTGGGAGGGCCGGTAAGAATGCAGAGACTCAGGACAGATGCTCCAGCGCAGGCAACAGCAAGAAACACCAGTCCACACCGGAGGGACAGAGCTGGGCCCAAGCCCAAGCGAACCCCCTGCCCGTTTGGTCCGCAAAAGAAAAGAAAGAATGTCTACTAGTGGCTCAGCCATGCTACAGGGCGGGGCCCAGGAGCTGAACACCGGCCCGGGTCCCCCTGCCTCGAGGGAATGGTGTGAGTCGAGGATGGGAGCCTGCCCCGGGGACCCAGAGGCCAGCCTCAGCCCGGGTCCTGACCCCGGGCCTTCTTCCCCCAAGCCGGGACCAGGAATGTGCTTAGGAGAGGGCCACACGGGGAGGGATGCTGCTTCCAGGGAGGGAGGGGAGACCAGATCTGAAGCCAGGGTCACGTCCCTCTCTGACCACCGCTGGTGGAGGCGGAGCTGGGTGCCCGGGGGTGGCTTCTCTCTTAAGCACCTGCCCCGTGTTTGAGAGGACGACCGTCCCCGAGCTGCCCATGCACATCCAAGTCTGGGCCATCCCGAACAGGGAGGGGAAAGCCCAGAGCTGGGGGTGGGGAGGTGCCCACCGCCCAAGACCGAGAGCTCACCGGGGGCAGGGCGGGAGACGTACCATTGACTAGGCTGGTATTTGCACTATCTGCAGCATTTGAACCTGCCGCACCATCGGCCGCTGTGGGGGTGGGAGGGATGAAAAATGCAGTGGTCAAAATGGAGGAGAGCAACAGTGCAGACGGCAGCAACAGTAGACGCGAACCAACATGCGGGGAGGGATGAGACTGTGGTTGGAAACACACATCTCGGCCGGAAATCAAGAAACTCAAATTTGGGGGTGGGGGGTGGGGTGAAATGTTCCTGTGGAGATGACACATAAGTCGGAGGGCAGAAACTCAGACATGGAGGGTCTTTGAAATAAAATATGGAGGGTGATCCACGTTGGTAGGTGGGATGGTCGGTGTGAGGTCTGGACCCAGGCATCCCGTTGTCCCAACCAACAGAGCAGGTCCCTCTGCCAGTGAGGGTTCTATGAAGGTTGGGGGGTTGCTGGCTGACCATCATGGCCAGAGGGACCCATGGCCAGGGGTCGTTTCAGCACGGTGTGCAGTAATAGCGCCGGCCATTCTGAATGGGCGTTTGTTGTGACGGCTGCTGTGTCCTGGAAGGACATTTGTTCACCGCAGTGACCTCGGATTCGTGCGTTTGACTCAGGCCACTGCCCATGGCCAACTCCTCCTTTCCTGACTGACGCCAAAAGGCTACCTTGGTCTTGCCCATAGGAGATGTCCCACCACTTAAAAGATGACATCAGGCATGTTGCATCTTGTGCACGAGACAGAGAGAGTTCTAGTGAGATTTCCTTAATTTAGAAATCAAAAATGATATGAGATGCTCAAATTCGCTCTGGCTGTTTTTTCTTGGGGTGGGGGAGACGGGTTCTATGGGAAGGAGAGGGAATAGATGCTGGGTGAGTTGGCCGTGCTGTGAGGTGAGGGGCTCTGTGGGGTCACGAGGTGCTGAGTGCACACGGCGTGCCACTGTCTGGGATTTGGAAGCAGTGGGGGTGCCATCCGCCCTGGAAGCACTGGAAGGGCAGCATGGGGTGCTGGCCTCTCCTGCGGGGCTGGGACCACAGAGGAGTTTTGGGGTGGGGGGCAGAGCCCCCAGCCATCGGGTACCCTTCTAGCTGTGTGCTGGGGGTCTGGGGCCAGGGCTCAGGGGTCAATGGCTGCTGCTACTTCTAAAAGCCCCTTCTACCCTGAGGGGTGTCTTACTGTACCTGGTAGCTGAAGGCCATCCCCCTTCTTCACACCTGTGTGATGATTTTTGAGACATGTTAATGAAGGAGAAGCATGTACAGCCACATACACGCCCGCCCGCACAAGCATACATACACACACACTCCAGCACACCCAGAGTCATCCTGAAATGGAGGGTTGTAAGCAGCGTCCCTGGTGGAGGTGATGGGATGGAAGCGCTAAGGGGGTCCAGCCCTGGGAACCCCCCGGGTCTGCTCTCAGGGGCCTGAGAGGCTGGGCTGCCCTCCATCTTCCTCTGCCATGTCCCCTCCACATCCCACCTCTTCCTTCTTTCTGCACTGCTGTCCCCATCTCGGTGATGGGCAGGTAAACATTCAGAAAGGGACTCTGACCCATGCCGGGCAAAAGAGGCCTGTTTTCTTATCGGCATTGTAAAAAACACCGGTCTGGGCTGTGGTAGCTTCTGGGTGCTTCTGCCCCTCACCCAGGCCCCAGTGAGGCCAATGAAGTGGGCGGAACTGCTACATCCTGCCCAACTGCCTGCACCTGGGGCCGCTGGTGGCCACAGCTGCTACGTCACTGTGTGGACGCTACCCTGATGTGCTCTGCGCCTCATGGCCAAGACTTGTCCTCAGTGTCTACCTCAGCTTGCACAGATCATAGCTTACTGCCACTGCTCCTGCTGCTGCGGCAGCCATAATCTTAGGAGGACCCCAGTAGGAAGCAGGTTTTGGCCCTGGGAGCAAGTAACCTTTGATTGTAACCCAGGCCCAGAGACTGGCTGACCTCTGAGAGCTGGAGGTTAGTCCTGTTGTCCCTAAAACCAAAAGAGGGGTCATCTACTATCTCATCTCCTTCCCCTGGCTTCCAGAAGGTCTGGATGTTGGGGACTCTCCTCTGGAGCTTAGGGAAGGACACTAAGGACTGAAGATGTGAGATGGGGAGGGTCCCCAAGACTGAGTGTGTGTTGGGTAAGTAGCCAGCTGTTTTGGACCAGAAGCTGGATGTTAGACTTAGGCCCGGTCTGATGGGATTGGGGCTCACGTCTCCCAATCAGCCCTCCTATGCTCTGAGAGGACTTGCAGCCCAAGCTGCCAAACTGCTGCACCAAGGGGAGACCATGGAGTGAGGACACTTGCTTCTGGGGGAGGAGGAGACAGAACTCAGCTGAGATTGCAGCTCCAGGGGCATCAGAGAGGGGCTCACGACAGCTGATTTGGAGGCACCATCCCCAGAAGCTCCCCATCACCTTTGGGTAGAGCCTCCACTGAGTGTGCAGCTCTGCCCAGTGGAGTTGAGAGTAGTGATGGAATATGCCCAGGTGGGGTTTTCTACTCAATATCAGGGCTGATGGTGGGACCAGGTCACACCTGAGGCTGGAGACCGGAGAAAAGGCTCAGCACGTTTGGCCTGGTTCTGAGGGGAAGGGGAGCCCCCCATGACATGACTGGACAAGACAGAGACTGGGACAAGACCCTGGAGATGGAACAGACAGAGCCTCCTGGCCCAAGCAGGGCCTCAAGGATGCAGGAGGTGACTGTTGGCACAGCGTGTGGACATAAAAGGCACTCAAAAACTCTTGAGTGAAAGAATCAACAAAAAAAAATGTGGCCTTAAGAGCTCTTCTCCTGGTCCACGAGGGGTCTGGGCTTACCTTTCTTGTCTTTCTTCTCTTCCTCTTCACCACCGGCCCCCAGCAGGGTAAAGATAATGCCAGTCTGAGAGTTCACACCCACGGCGGTCACCACCATCCGTCCAGAGCCCTCCATCACGTGGGTACCTAGGGATGGGGATGAAAGCCAAGTTACCATTGCACAGCCCAGATCCCCCTCCCCCACGGAGTGGGAGGAATCTGGTCCCAGTCTGCTCCTGGCAATTTGCCTGTCGAGGTCCTGGGGCACCTCTTACAGTGAAGGTTTAATGTGTATCACGGTAGTGGGTCCTTTAAAGATGACTATACCTTGGGACAGTGCTATGATGAGCCAGGAACTCAAACACTGCTATACTCAGCTCTTAGGCCCCTAGAAAGCTCAGGCTTACCATCTCCTCCCCATTCCTAGAGAGTTCCTTTCTCTCTCTTCTCTCTCCCCATTCCTCCTCTCCCTGCCTTACAGGTCAAGCAGGTACCACTCTTGTCTTTTCCTTTCTTGATATATCTAGAACCATACCTCATTCTATTTAATTTTGCAGATGGAAAGAAAAATGCCAACTAAGCCCTGGGCAGGACTCCTTAAAATGAAGTTCACTTTCTTCCCAAAGATCTGAGGAAAGAATTCAGGGCTCAGTGAACTTGGATGAGGAAACAATGAAATCTTTATTTTCACAGACATCAAACTGAAATTTAGCATTTTTCCTCCATAAAGAACAAAGTCAATAAACTCCAGGAGTGTCAGCAGTGCCCACAACACCATTACACATGTTACAAAAATCACAGTTTCTTAAAAATATCTCTTTATAACTGCTGTAGATACTTTTTGAAAGTGAAAGTAGCTCAGTTGTGTCCAGCTCTTTGCAACCCCATGGACTATACAGTCCATGGAATTCTCCAGGCCAGAATACTGGGTGGGTAGCCTTCCCTTCGCCAGGGGATCTTCCCAACCCAGAGAATGAACCCAGATCTCCCTCATTGCAGGTGGATTCTTTACCAGCTGAGCCACAAGGGAAGCCCAAGAAAACAGGAGTGGGTAGCCTCTCCCTTCTCCAGTGGATCTTCCCAACCCAGGGATCAAACCGGGGTCTCCTGCATTGCAGGTGGATTTATTACCAGTTGAGCTATCAGGGACGCCCCCAAGATAAGATACTTTTTAGGCTTATGCTTATTTTACAACTAAGGCTGCTATTATACTGATTGCTGGATCTCGTTATTCAGTATACTAATAAAGAAATGCATATGTTACTACACCACATATTTATTCTTTTCTAATTACTTTAACTATTTCAATATAATTGACTTCCTTTGTGATCCAAGGTATTTCATGTATTTCAAAGCTTTTTCACCTATTCAGCGGTGGCCCATGATGACCCTGGACCTTCCCAGGAGTCCACTGTACAAGAAAAGTTACAAACTCCCTTTTGAGAATGTTAGATTTTTGAAACTGGATTCCAACGGGTCCTGGAATTCTCCCAAGGGCCGCGGGGAGCCGTGGGGGAGGGAGGTGGGAGGCCTTTGAGCAGAGCAGCTCCACTTTTATTCGTCTCTGCGGTCTTCGTTGTCAACTTCTACTTGACAAGAGGGCACTCTGCTTAGCAAAGAACCTACGGAAGTGAAGTTTGGCCTGTCAGGCGCTTGTTTTTTTGTGGTTTTTCGTTTTTACTGCTCTGTCTAGAAAATTCTCTATACGAGCCCATAGCCCCTCCTTCAGCAGACAGGTAAGAATCCAGTCCCGCATGGTGTAGGGTCTCCAGCCGTCCCCAGGCTGCACAGAAAGAATTATATCTGGTCTATCAGACAGGCGGCCATGGCCACCGAGCCCAGACACCAAACACCCCTGAATACTTGTTTCTCAAACTCCTGCTGTTTTCAGATTTTCCTTTTTTCCCCTCAAGATCGATGGTCATTTCTTCCTGCTTTCAGGGTCATTTGTCACTAATGGCCTTCTCCTGGTCTCCCGATTTGCTTCAGACTTGAAGTCTAGGTGGACAGACTCATTAGAATTGCATGTAAAATAAGAGTGAATAGGTTCTAAGTCAGGGCAGAAAGCACTTTCCTTAAAGCAAGGAATCTATTTTCGCATTTCAAGAGGTTTCGTTTACTACGTTTTCCTTTTTCTTCTAGGACCTGAGCCATATTTTGAGATGGTGTGTCTGCATGAATAGGTTTGCACACATGTCTGGTTGTGTGTGTGCGCGCGTTTGTGGTGCTCCAGCCGTTTGGCCTCTAGGATGTCAGGATCTTAAAGTGCTTTACAGACAGACAGATATTCTCCAGTAAGTTCCTCTGAGGTGGTAAAGGTCGGTCTGTCCATCCGTGAAGGGTAAACTAAGTCATGAAGGCTCCCAGAGGCAGCCTGGAGCCTAGCAAGCCATACCAGAACCCAGGCTCTCAGGGGAGGTGCTCTGTGGCTGGCTTCGCACCCATCCCTAGGCTCCTGCCCATCCCCAGGCTCCTGTCCATCCTCAGTTTCCATGCCCATCCCCAGGCTCCGCGCCCGTCCCCAGGCTCCTGCCCATCCCCAGGCTCCTGCCCATCCCCAGGCTCCGCGCCCGCCCCCAGGCTCCTGCCCATCCCCAGGCTCCGCGCCCGTCCCCAGGCTCCGCGCCCGTCCCCAGGCTCCACGCCCGTCCCCAGGTTCCTGCCCGTCCCCAGGCTCCTGCCCGCCCCCAGGCTCCAAGCCTGTCCCCAGGCTCCTGCCCGTCCCCAGGCTCCGCGCCCGTCCCCAGGCTCCGTGCCAGCCCCCAGGCTCCAAGCCCGTCCCCAGGCTCCAAGCCCGTCCCCAGGCTCCTGCCCGTCCCCAGGCTCCGCGCCCGTCCCCAGGTTCCTGCCCGTCCCCAGGCTCCTGCCCATCCCCAGGGTCCGCACCCATCCGCAGGCTCTGCACCCATCCCCATGCAGGGACCAGTGGGGACCGCAGAAGGTGCTCAAACACTGACTCCAGGCTGGAAGGTCCAGGCCTGGCGCCTTCCCATCACAGGCAGACCCCGGAGCACGCTCTCCTCACCAGGGGCACTAGCACAACCTGGGCCGATTATGGGGCTTCGGGAACGACAGTGACTTGCTGACAAAATGCTTCCTCAAGCGCGGGCTCAGCCTGTGTCGGGGCCGGCAGGACGGACTGTTAAGTATCAGCGATATTAGAAGGATGAGGAACTAAAGCGCAGAGAGGTCACCTGTGGGCGGTGTGAGGTCACTGCAGATCTTTAAAGGTGAGGGATGAACACACTTCACCACACTCACAGGGTGTAGACGGCAGGGACGGTAATCAGCACGACCTTCAGCAGGACACCTACTCCGCACCAGGCCTGGTGCCCTCACCCTGATCCTAACCCCAACCCTTAACCCCGACCCTTCATGCGCAATCATCTCATCAGCTCGCGCGCTGGCCCTCAGCTGGCAGAGGAGAAGCCTGGGGCTCCGGGAGGAGTGGCCCGTGAAGGGTCCCTGGCTGGGGAGGGACAGAGCCCCCTGCCCGGCTGGTCAGATGCTGCTCTTCCTCAGGAAACAAGGCCACACGCTGGTCCTAAACACGTTCGTGAAGAAGTTGGCTTGGCTTGGGTGTCAACAGAGAAGCTGCTCCCCACCTCCCCGGCCCTGGGGCCAGATGGAAAAAGACACAGGGGGCCAATTTCCACCCAAGATAATCAGACCCCAAATCACCTTCTGATCTAATCACTCCCAGCTCAGCAGGGAGCTGGCGGCTCTGCACCAGGAGGCAGGGAGGAGGGGGGAAGGAAGAGGAAGCCAGAGAGGTGGCCTCTGGCCACAACACAGGGACACGGGGAGGCGGGAGAGAAGGGCCAGCATGCCTCCCACCCAGCACCGAGGAGCCCCGGGGGTCCTCCAGGCCTCAGCATTAGAGGGGCCAGAGGAGTTGGGGGCATCACCTCCCCCGCTGGTCCCCCCTCCATCCACACCCCAGCAGCACGCCCAGCCTCGGCTACGACTACCGTCCCCCCGGCTCAGACCCTCCACAGCTCCCCGAAGTCCAGATGCCTTAATCAGCAACCCCTGGGTCAGCTCTCAACCTTCTCCGAGCCCCGGACCACCGACTTCTGCCATATGCCCCCTCCCTGGGATAGGCACCGCTCACCGGACCCTTCCGTCCCACCGCCGACCCCAGCCCCATGCCCATCTCTGCTCACATGGTTATCACCGCCTGAATGTCCTTCTTCCACTTCTTGTCCGAAACCTCCTGTTCAAGGCTTAGCACAAACACCCCTCCTCTTAGGTGACTTCCTTGACCCCTATAAAAGGACGTCACCTCTCCCCTAGTCTCCGCTGCCAGCAGTTTCCCCAGGGGGTGCCTCCTGGCCCCTGAGCCCCTGGGGGCAGGATCTGAGTGCATTTCCTCTCTGCCTCCCACAGCACCGCTGTCACTGCTATCTCATTTTCTGCATTTTTCTCGGTGGGCATGTGTTACACTTATAATGGAGGACCCACACCCCCTCCAGAAGCCATCTTTACGGTTCTACAAAGGGTCAAATTCATCCAGCCCAGCCCTCCTCCCCACAGCTCCCTGGACTGCCCCCCACTCCCCTACGAGGACTTCAGAGTCTGGCTGCCCCTTCCTGCCAGAGGACTGGGTCACCCAGCTCCAGGATCCCCTGCAGGGGACAAGCTGTAAGCCCTAGGGCCGAAGCTCCCACAGTGCAACCTGAGGCATATAAAACACAGGTCTCTGCGTGTGGGCAGAGGGGAGACCCTTCTGGGGAGGGGTGCCCTGACTGCACTTTGGGCACCATCCTGTGGTCCCCTCAAGCCCCCAGGGAGCCCCTCAGAACACGCCACCTGGGGGGTGGCCAGAGGAGAGGACCCTGGGTTGAGGAGGGAGGGACCTGGGGATTAGTCTGGGGTCTGCTTCTGGTTTGCTGAGCGGCCTGTGGCCAGCCCTCTCCTCTGTGGACCTGTTTTGTCCCCTGTTAGAGGTCTGGCTTAGGTCATCACCTCTTGGCGGTAAAGTCTGGGAACCCAGGTCTCTCGGAGATGAGGGCCCCTCCGGTGTGGGAGAGGGCAGCCTCTATTAAAGGCAGCACCTCGGGAACTCTGGAGGGGCAGGTGGAGGCTGAGCGGACAGACTGACCACGAGTTGCTCCCTGTCTGGGCCACGCTTATTCACGCAACGG